GTCAGCTCTCTCGGGTAGTATCAAGACAAATCAACGGCTCGATCAACCGGCTAATATAAATCAACGGCAATAATGTTGCCCGAAATTTCACGGGGCAGATCTCATCGCCTTTAAGAACCGACCCTAGCCATCTCTCGTTCCTCGCTCTCGTTTAGGGTAAAGTCCCAAACTCACATCTCATTCTCTCCTTCGATTAATTCTTCCTTCCAGCACGTTTTTCTGGTGGCGCGTGGATAGTTTTGGTGGCGCGTGGGTCCACTATCTAGCTGAATCGTCGTTGTTTTGGCTATCAAAGCTGAGAAATATCGCGGGGGCTTGGCCGGAACCGACCCGGCCGGGTTCATTTCCGACCATTGTTAATGGCATCGGCAGTGTTAGCGAACCATCAGAACGAACCTGATTGGACGCAACCGAGAAGCGGTGGCGGCGCGAAATTCATGGGCAAAGTTCCATTTTCGAAATCAAACCCTAACCCTAATCATAGATTCGGCAACAGCAAGAAGAGGCAATTTCAGCACGCAGCGGACGACGTATATGAATCTCCGGCTGTGACGCAATCGGCTGCATCTGACGATGCATCCTCGATCAACCGGAAACCTAACATTGATTTCAGCGGAGGTGCATACGTAAGCTTCAAAATCGCTTCGTATTCGAAGAAGGGAACTGATCGAGCTCAAAAATCAGTTGATCGTGGAGCTTGAGCAGATTCGGAAATTGAAGAATCGAATCGAGTCGCATGACTTGCATGTCAGATCCAGCTCTAGCAATTTTCCCCTGAAGAAAGGTAGCGGAATCAAGAAAGTTACTGGTAGCAAGCGTCCATTGCCGCCAAATTTCAGCAAGGAATTGAAGAGATTGAATCCCGAAAGTGGCAATTTGATGAAGATGTGTGGTCAGATTTTGACGAAATTGATGAAGCACAAACATGGGTATATTTTCAATTCTCCGGTGGATGTGGTGGGATTGGGTTTGCATGATTATCTAGACATAATAAAAAACCCGATGGATCTGGGTACTGTGAAATCGAGGCTGGCGAAGAACTTTTACGATTCGCCTCTTGATTTTGCTGCTGATGTGCGGTTGACTTTCAACAATGCCATGATGTATAACCCTAAAGGTCACGAGATATATGCCTTGGCCGACCAGCAGCTTACAAAATTCGAGGAGTTGTTTAGGCCGATAAATGAGAGATTGAGGGAAGAAGTACGACAAGAAATGGTGTATGACCGGGAATTGCAGGCAAGCTCATGGGATCGTGTTGAGAGGGATCGTGTGGAGCCAGATCGAGCAAAGAAAGAAAGAGACGATTCTTTGCAGGTTGTGAGGAAAATGAGAGTTCCAGAAAACGGGTCTAACATAAACCCGCCGCCCGTTCCGCAGATGCCTGTGCAACCACCATCTCCTGTACGAGTACCACCAGTGAAGCCGGTGAAGCAGCCAAAACCAAAGGCAAAGGATCCTAACAAAAGGGAGATGAGTCTTGAGGAGAAACACAAATTAGGGCTTGGATTGCAGAGCCTGCCACAGGAGAAAATGGAGAATGTGGTGCAAATAATTAGGAAAAGAAACGGGCATTTAACCCAAGACGGGGATGAGATTGAATTGGATATCGGGACAGTCGATACAGAGACTCTTTGGGAATTAGATCGATTTGTGACTAACTACAAAAAGATGGTGAGCAAGATCAGACGGCAAGCGCTTACGGGTAACAATGTGGCTGCAAATGAAGGCAACAAGGTAAATGCTGAGTTATATTTGTGTCAGCAGTATATAATGCCATTGCTTGTTGATATAATTCTTTTAGACGGTACTTATTTCTGATTTTGTTGTAGGAGTTACCTGCTGCTGAGAAGGTTGAGGTAGGAATAGAGGCAAGGAAGCCGAAGAAGGGAGAAGCTGGGGAGGAAGACGTGGACATTGGGGACGAAATGCCAGTTAGCAGTTTCCCGCCGGTGGAGATTGAGAAAGATGATGGTCGTGCCAGTAGCAGTTCCAGCAGCTCAAGTAGTTCCAGTAGTGATTCATCCTCGTCTAGTGGTATAGCCCAAATCTGACATTCAGAGTCTAAATGTTATAAGTGTGTGCATTAAATTTGTCAGCAATTTAGCTGGA